ACTATTTCAATGATATAATATGGCTCATAGGGTCTATGTCCCCCGGTACTGCCGAACGTACCCTGGATACGGTCCGGTATACCGAACGTACCCTGGTAACTATCTGATTATGGTTAGGGTTAGGGTTAGGGTTAGGGTTAGGGAGTAAGGCGTTGGCGACTCCCTAGACTCGTTAGTGGAGTAGGCAGGAGGTACGTCCGCATATTAGATAGTACCAGCAGGGCATATAAATCACGTTGATTTATATGCCTCTGGTACCGGGTACGGTCCGGTGTACCAGGTAGCGTTCCGGCAGTACCCTGGGGACATAGACCCTTCAGCTATAATAGACATATGTATATCTTGAACATGCTATTTGTTGTGCTGTAATATTGTGCTGGGGTAGTATACATACATACATGTACATATTATATTCAATTTTATATATTTGCAATGAGTATTGATGTCACACATCTGTAATACTGCACAATTTAATTATATTTATGGTGGTTAACAATTATTTTTAATTTATCATGTTAGTATCCCTATAAAAAGGAAGCAAAATATATCTCAAAACATATGAGACATAAGCTCATCTTCTTACCAGGAACAGCACTCGATTCTGTGATATAAATTTGACAGTTGGTATTTGCATTTATAACAATATTCAGCAAAAAGTGCAATTTTACGATGACAATTTAACAATTTTTCGCATTTTTATCTTTTTATGATTTACTACGTAATAAATCCTCTTTAGGACAACGTAATGACACGAGAAACACACGCGACACACGAGTTATTATTTACAAATCACTGGTCGTGACAGCATTTTATTATTATATATCTCACATACATGGCACTGACCGTGTACAAGAGACACAAACGCACACGTACACCACACGCACATTCACATGTAACTACGAACTCCGTGCTTCAGATTTTTCGACGCGCACGCGCACACTGGAGCGATTCACACCGATAACTAAATGCCACTTTTTTACAATTACATTATTTATGGAAGCTAAAAGCGCGATAATCTAGCAATAATAATTAATAATTTATAATCGCTCGTGCCTAAGCAGCATGATCAGAGACCGTGGCGCCATCTACAGGGCGTCTCGCAAACACAATCAGCCTACTACGTATGTACAAGCGTGCCTCTTAAAACACGACTATCGCTACCTTCGGCCGCCCCCCGCCCGCATCGCCCGCGCCGCTGCTCACTAAACCCGACGTGGAAGCAAAGTAGAACGCAATCGCGACTTCACATGTGACTGCTCTCGTACGCGCGATTGTCGATTGTAAGGTCAAGAATCGAAACTTCTTTTCTTGTACTAGGCAATGCTTGGGTGACCTACAATAGCTACCGTCCTCCCGTCTCTGGTCTTCATAGAGCTTTACGTGTGTGTCTAGTGTCCAGATGCGCACGATATCGATCGACCGCAATTCGACACAGCTTTAGCTTGAGAACTAATACCGCATGTGACTCTTTAGATTCGACAAGTTTTTGAAAGAAATAGCACGCTCGATTCTTTCGTTGCGCCCTAAAATTTCGCACTGTCAGCCGATAATTTGCCACCGTCAATTTGAAATACCGAAACGGAATACTGGACGAGCCACCAGCGATAGCAAGTACGTTTTTAGCACGCACAATAATGCCTTGGTCCGGCTTTTTCGTGCGGTCGGTGAACTTTTGAGGAGAGTTAAGCACCAGGTAGATAAGAGAGAGCGAGTTTCAAATCGAGAAGATGTGTCCAAAGATGTTCCGAAGGCAGGGGTGAGTAGAGGGAGCCACGCGGTCGAGGGGGCGCCGTCGTTACTCTCGGCGACACAGGGGAAAGGGGGCGCCACGTCATATTTTCCGACACTAACAGCTCGCTAACTTTCAGTCATTGCCTTCGAATCCTTTCATCGCGGTCGCCAATGGTAACCGGCGCGAGCGCGGAAACGAGGGGCACGATATAAATACATATATTAAATTGACTTCATCGCCGAGGCAACGGCAGCAATGGGCGGGTCGCCGTTCATTCGCTCGATGGCCGCCAGGTGGCGCCAGCGTCACATCTTGTCCCGTGATTGCGGTGAAAGAGCAGCGACGAATTGGCGGTTTCCTGCGGCCGGCCACCAGATGGCGACAGCCTCAGCAGTTCATGCAGTTGCCACTAGATGCGCAAGCAAGCAGCTCATATTGATGACTCGGCAGTTCGCCAGAACCGCCGCTAGATGGCGTAACTCGCGCATCCCAGCTGTTTCGCGGAACCGCGCGGGTGGCGCTAGCAGAAGTGTCATCAAGCACGCTCAACGGCTCGCACAGCACCGCCACTAGATGTCGCCAGCGAGGCGGCATGCTGCCGTAGTTCGCACGATCGCCACCAGATGACGCCACGCTTCTCGGACGACACCTCCGTATACTCGCTTGGCGACCGCCAGATGGCGCTACCACCACGCTCTTCCGAGAGACGACGAATCCGTAATCTGCGCGGCGGCGCCCACGCGCGCGTAGTTTGCGCAGCCCCGCTAGATGACGCTACGGGCAGCTTGTCGAAGACGTCTCCGCTGTTTGCGAGTGACGGAGCCTTTGCGGCGCGGCAGCGTCCTCCGCGCGCCACCGTGCGTCCGGACACCCGTTGTTGACGAGGATCGTCACACCACTCAGAGCTTCGGAGTTACGAGCGTAGATGAGAGGGTTACGCCCGCTCCTGGTCGACCGCCGCCACGTTGGGCACCGTACTGCGGAGGGAGAGGGGAGAGAGATTAGTATAATACATACATGAGGAGAAGAGGAGAGAGAGAGAGAGAGAGAGGAAGAGGAGAGAGGAGAGAGAGAGAAAGAGACAGGAGGAAGAGGAGGGGGAGAGGGAGCGATAGAGAGCGAGGAAGAGGAGAGGAGAGAGAGAGAGGTAAGCAGGAGAGGCGAGAGGGAGGAGGGAAGGGAGAGGGAGAGAGTAGAGAGAGAGAGAGAGAGAGAGAGAGAGAGAGAGAGAGAGAGAGAGAGAGAGAGAGAGTGAGAGAGAGAGAGAGATAGGATGAGATACGATCAACTACACAGATTAATTGTTGCTAGTAATTAATTACAGTACCATCATCATCACCATCATCACCATCATCATCACCATCATCACCATCATCATCACCATCATCATCACCATCATCGCCATCATCATCACCATCATCATCACCATCAGTCGCCATTCATTACAACTCCACGCTTCGCGCGTTGCCACGGCGACCGCGTCACTCACCCAGATGAGCAGCTGCGTGATGACGACGTTGCCGAGAGCGCAGGACAGGTGCAGCGGCGTGCGGCGGTCGCGCCCGCTCACAGTGCTGTTCACTTGTTCGGGCTTGGCGTGCGCGAGCAGCAGTATGACGCCCCTCAGGTCGCCCTTACACACGGCCTCTAGCAGTTGCTAGGAGGAGAAAAATGCGGGTTAGTAGTGGGTCAGAATAAGTTGATTAGATTTAAAATACTTAGATTAAATTAACGAAATTAGTTTACTTTGGATTTTAAATAATAAAAAATGATAACACCTATGATAATAATAATAATAAATTAATATAAAATAATAAACATCATGAGGGAGTGACTACGGTTACTGAATTGCACTCAGCCCTGTATAAAATCTACAGCTACATATAATGTAGTTGAATTGAAATGGAGGGAAATACACGGGTAAGTATGGCATAGAAGATTTATGGAAATTTATCATATCCATATCTGAGTTTATGTATCATATATATATATATATTTATATGATATTTAATATTATATCCTTATCGTAGGTTCACATGTGCGCCGTGTGGCATGCTCACCTGTCCGAGAGGGACGTTGCTAAGCGGGGGCCCGGGTAGATACTCGTGATGCTCGTACTTGCTACGGATCCACTTCTCCTTCTCTTCCCTGCAACGCGGAAACACGCGTCAGTCACATAAAAAGCTCATAGACATAAAAAGATTCGTATCGTCAGCAAATAATCTGGAACTAAAATTTCAAGCTAAGGGGAGAGGTCATTTACATAAATTAGAAAACGTAGGGGGACCAAGAGTTGATCCCTGTGGAACACCGCACGATATATTCAAAAGATGCGAATATGAGTCATTAATTGTGACGATACTGCGGGAATGAGTTCTGCCGGCGGCACTAGATGGAGCCACGTACCTGCTGGATGAAGGATTGGGTTTTCCCTTGCCGCGTATGTGAACCTCCCAGACGCTGTTAGCTAGAGAGTTGCCTATAGACAACATCACCTTCACCAACTCTGACCTGCAGATGAAGATTTGTTTTATGATTAGAATGAGCAAATCATCACACAAACTTCCGCACTCCCTCCTTCCACTTACTCACAAATCCTTCCAGCAACACAACCACAGTTCTAATCTTCCATTACGAAAACCCCCAACCCATCCAGATAGGCAACAAAATCCCTCCATCGAAGACACCCGCAAGTCCGGCCAACTGATCTGGACAACACGATACAAACGTCCCTAATGTCTCTCACCCCTCACTTTATGTTACATTTTACCTTACCTTTACCTTACTTTACCTTACCCTTTACCTTTTTACTTTATGAGTCTCCCAGCCTCACCCTCCGTTAGACCCTCACAATCACCCTACATTAGATCCCCATCGCTAACCTTACAATAGCCCACCCTCCTGCACCCTTCACCACATATAACACCTCACCCTACATTACACCCCCTCCCCCACACCTCACCCTACATTACA